AGCCTGCCCGCCCTTATCCCCCGGGATAGTGACAGCAARGCGGGCTGCTTCCCTGTAACACCGAAGGGTGTCGTTTCTGCATTGTGTACCTGGCTAAATTGTACATACCTGTAGGACAAGGGTCACCTCCATGCCAGGCTGGTGCCTTGGCATGAAGTGCTGCAGTACGTTTCTCTACACCAAAGTCTCCCACCCTCTGAACAGCTTTCTTCTGGCTTTCTTTGCTTCAGACCCTACAGTGCTGGAACAGGGAGATTCTCTTAGCTCTATTAACCAGGTTCCCCTCCCTTCCCAGGGCCACAAGGAAGGGGCAGAACAGACCTTCCCCTCCAAGCAGGCCTGGTCTCAGCCAGGCACGCTGATGGCACATTGTTCCTCATAGTGTGACTCCACGTGTGCTCTTATGTCCTATGAGTCTGCTGAACAAGTCAGACACCGACACGGCAGAAGCTCCTTTTCAAGGGCAGATGTCCTCACCACAGACCTAGGTGCAGAACCCTAGGGCTCTGCTGCTCAAGGAAACACAATCCTAGGGGTCTACAGCAGCCCCACAAAGCCAAGCTCAAGTAGCTTGTCGTTCCACAAGCAGTCTCTCTCATTTTCTAGGGACATCTGCTCTTCTTCAGTCTTTTTCCSYGCTATGGATATCACGGTTTTATCAYGGGTTTGGGGTTTTATTGTTTGTTGTTTTTTTTTTCCATAAGAGCATCCCCAGACGCCCTGAGCAGGACAGGTGACTCTCTGCTTCTTCTCTCATAATTCAGTATAAGCTCTTAGGATATCAAATCAGAGWTCACATTAAAGGGAGTGTTACCCTCACCCTTTATTAAAAAACAACAACAACAACTTCCCTCTAAGCAACTTTCCCTGTGCTTGCAGCARCTGGCTTCAAAATCTCCCCTTCAGGTGAACTGAGGCCTTACTGTGCTCTTACCTGGCAGTGCTGGTGAGTTTGCCCAAACAAATGCCCATCTCTAATGCTAGGCTGCGTGTGATATGAGGTGACCCAAAGCACCAAAGTTGTTCTGGACACTGAAATCTTTTCTTTCTCTGAGCAATCGTACACAACGACACACAACTTCTACGCTAGGCACAAGCAGACTCTCTTCAGCTTTATCATCARCTCTGGAGGAAAAGCAGCACCAAGCCCATTTTCTCACTGTCTGAGCAGGAAGGAGGATGTAGCTGAAATCAGCCCTTTTGCTTTTCTCCGCTACCCTTCTCCAGCTCCCTTTTTAGCTATCCATTAAGAATACTCTGTTAACTTCCCTTGGAGCTACCTCATTAGGAGTATYGCTAACATCCACCCAGTTATAAGATATCTTAAATTCTCAGCTGTCTTCTTGAGTTTGCTGGGTTCCTGGGCTGTTCTGCTCTCAAGCAGAGTGTACACATGTGTACTCAATCATGCAATTAGTGCTGCTTACTCAGCACCAGTAGTTACAATGGTTAGGGCTTTTGCTGCTCTGTTGTAGTAGATCTCTTTGCCGGATACTTTGTAGTTTCTTCCTTTTCATTCGAATGAACAGTTCAAATGATTAACTTTTCTATTCATCTCCTATGATTTTTCTTTTTTTATTTTCTGYCAAGCTTCAGCTGTGCACTCTTTCTCTCTTTCAGAGGAGGAGAGAAGAGAAGGAAAGGTGTAGACTTATCCGTCACCCAGACAAGAATACATTGGAGCCCCATAGAAATTAGAACAATTTTTTATGTTGCTTGTTGTTTTTCATGGCCAAAGTCTCATTTGGCCTCTAACTGCCTGCAAGAGATAGTGATGCTATCAGCAGAAATGGAGAAAGTATTAATAAGGCTTGAAAAATATCTCTAACAGAGAAGGTCTGGATAAATCTGAACTAGCTCCACTGGAGTGTCCTGACCACTGGGTTTGGTGAGAGTCCAGGCAGAACAGTGCCGCTTACTGCTGAGACCGTAACCTCTTAAACCTGGAAATGAACTAAATGAAATGACAGTTTACCCAGTGCCTCTTCCCTCTAGTATAGGGAAATGCACACAGCCCTTCTGCCCTATCCTGAGAGATAAGACTCCTGTCTGTGGGAATCTGTGACATAGAGTCGAGGATCTCGGAGAGATGAGGCAATGCAAAGCAGTCATTATACTAACACTAGGGAATACTGTAAAAACTTGCACATCTGAAGAGCAGAGTCCCCATGGGTCAAGTGAAGGTGCTGTGATCAGAATTTGAAATGCATCCATTTCCGATATGGATCAGTGAAACTGCTGGATGGACAGCACACGCTTGTTGTGGTTGCTATAGGCATAAGTCTGTAGGGAGTCTAGTATCACTGGTTTACAGAGAAGGATAGTTGATGGTAAACATATAAGTAGGTGATATTTGCTAAGGGGTAAATAAGTGCCACGAGAACTGGCAGAGACACCACCAGGTAGAGACAGAAAAGCACAATGATTGATTGGGGATCATTACCATATGGGTAATTTTGGAGAGGATAAGAAAATGGGGTTTCTGAAGCCTAATGTTGCTTTCTACGTGATTGTTTTTCATACTCAGGAATTGCAACCTCACCTTCAATGGATAGGAGGTTTACCCAGACTTTCTCTATCACTTTTGACATTTCTGGTCCACTGAGGAATACCAGTTCTCAGACCTTGTAACTTGGACACAGGTATGAATCCTGTCTCCTGCAACAGGCATCCCACCCAGGGCCTGATCAAACTCTGATGTCAGGCTGTTTCCCCCCAGTTTGCTTCAGAAGAGGCTGTTCCAGTTAAATGCTCCTGTTGTTAGTACCAGGCCCAAAGTTATTTATAAACATCTGGTTTTGTCCAGGGCCATTCTGTACTTCAGAGCTGTGGTCCCTGACCTTGCTAAGATGGGGCAGTGGTGCAGGCCGTATTATACCTTGCTCTCTGCTTTTGCTGTTAACTCTTTAATTTCCTATGGTCACAAGCAACACTGATTAATCTCACTTGCAGCAAGTCTCCTGCAGGCTTGTGTGAGGAGAACTGTTAGCTGTGTTATGTATCCCAGGGCACAAGACACCCTTCTTGAGGGTTTGCAGAGAGGATTCACACCTCTGCTCAGCCTTCTTTATTATTTTTCAATCTCTTCTCATCTGATATCTCCCCATCCCTTAACTGAGTATCACTTATCTGTCCTTTCTTGGGCTAAATTCACCTTTCTTGAACAATGATGACCAGACTCGTATACAGTGTTTCAGTTTAGTTTTATTCTTGATCATATCTTTACAGAAAATGGCACATAAATCACATATTCTGAATGACTAGAAGTTGTTACAGTTTCATATCTCAAACACCTCAATACTGAATTCTTTTCTCACTGTATATACATTATTTACACACCATGGGCTATAATCTAACACATCAAACAAACTGGGGACAAAGACAAACAGGGCTGCGTGGAGGGTGTTAACCTTGACAGAATAAAAACAGTAGCTCTGGGGAAAGGCTGCCCACAGTTGAAAGCAGGATAGAAAGGGCTCTGTGGAAGTCACTGTCCTAGGGCCATTGGGGTGAATAGTGTCCCATCAGGGTGAAGGTACCATGGAGTGCTGCTAAAAACAGTGGGTTTGGCTGTGCAGGTCTGCGTATATTAGTGTAAGATCARTCAGGAGGCGTATGTACAGGTGTATCCGGGAGGGGTATCTGCATGGCTGTTGTTCCCTTTGACACTCACAGACAGAGTTGGGCAAATTTTGTTCAATAATGCACCTAACAAGCGCTGTCATCTTGCCTGGAAGGATTTATTAGGTAAAGGTTTTCCCTGTGATTCAACCTCTTTGGAGGAGTATAAGAGGTTCCATTGAGCTGCTGACGTGGGGGATGCCTCTTACCCTCAGAGCTCTCCCCGAACTCATCTGTCTGTTGTTATCAGCCTCATGTGAGCAGCCAGCCCCCCGGCACATTGCACAGCCAGGGCTGTGCTGGATCCCCGTGTTCAGACCTCAGGGAAGTAGAAACCAGGCAGTTCCCTGGAGCAGTTTGAGGCAACCCTGATCCCAGCTGTGATGAGCCAGTGCCCAGAGCCCAGCACTGCTTCAGGGGTTGCACTGGCCTCACAGGCAGAGCTGAGCAGTCTGTGGGGCTGGGAGGAGCTGGTTTGTAGCTACCACAGGCAGACGTAAGCCTTGTGTGCCTGCAGCTCCGTGCCAGGTGCAGTGTGAGTGTGGCCTGGCAGGGCGGCTTGGAAGCTGCCCTGTCATCACACACTGAGAGCGATTGCAGGGACTTGGGTCTCCCCGCCTGGGAGGTGAGAATGGGGGGGTCACACCTGCAGGTAAAACCTGCTGCTCCCTGGAAAACTGAGCCCAAGTGAACTGCTCAAAATCAACCACCTCCTTCCCCACAAACCGCTGCTCTGAGTCATGAGTCACACATGGAGGGTATGAGCCACGGTTGGAAGGGACTCACCATTTCATGCGAACACAGCGGTGGCCTTGCCTGCTGCGTGCTGAGGRCACAGCGAGGTGCTGGTGTGGGCATCAGTGCCAGCGAGCCACACATCTGCACTGCTGCCCCGCTCCYGAAGGGCTGCAAGCCAGGGGTGAGGGCAGGGCCGGGGCTGAGAGTGGCTAGGAGGCCGGTGCCAGCAAGGAGAGGTGTGTGTGTGAAGRAGGGAGGTGGCAGCAAGGGATGGATTCACTCCGCGACGGCAGAGGGACTCCTCACACAAGACTGGATGGGTTTTGGGTGTGAGACTTGATGGACTGGACTCAAAGCTGGTCGTGAGGCCGTGCCAGAGGGACGCGGAGCCTCGGTTTCCTTTCAGATGAAGACAGGGCAGTCCCTGATTCCYCACAGGGAGTGGGGAAGGGGTCAATACCCCTGAGGGCAGGGGAGCGAGGGCAGGGTATGCCTGAGGGGAAGGGGCTGTGGACACCCCTGCCAGGCAGCCCCGGGGCTCAGCCTGTATCTTCCCGAAACGCAGAGACCGCGGCGAGCTCGCGCCCCGGGCAGGGGTGGCCGGAGGGCCCTGGCAGTCTGAGGGAGGCTACGGCTCCCGCAGGAGACAGTGTCTTTTGGGGCTGGTTTTCGTCATCTCTTCCCCTCTAGATCAGCTTCTCCTCCTTTTGTGATGAGTTTGACTTCTCCGTCTGTCTCTCATCCTCTACCGCGGCCTCCTCCCCCTTCTCTGGCTTCCTGCCCAGGGCCGGGGGGTCCCCAGCGATGGTTCCCAGGACTTTGGTGCTGTGCTCCTGAGCTTTGGCCCTGAGGGCAGCAATGCTGTTTTCTCTCAGTTCTTCCTGGGAAATGGTGGTTTTGGGATCTGGGCCCCTCTCTTCCTTGTCGCTCTTGTCAAGCTTGGGCAGGGCCTGGCGTTCCACCTCCGTCTTCCTTCCTGCCTCAGCCGCTGCCTCCAGAGATTTTTTGTGCATCCCTAAAAAGAATTGTTGGTATTCGGGTTTAGAAAAGCGCCTGGGCATGGGAAAGCCATCTTGAACTGAAAACAGCAAAGATAAAGAGAGGCCAGAATTAAGGAAAAGCAGAAACCCTTGCTTCAAACAGCAGTCACAGAGAGCCCATCGCTCCATGCCATGCACGAGGACGGCCAGGGATGTCTCTCTCCTGGGATCAGCCCAGCCTGAGAACCTGCAGCACCGTTAATGCACAGTTGAGGGGGGCCCTGCTCACCACCATGGCTGTCCCAACCTGGAGGGATGAACCTGACCCAGCAAACTACTGGGCTGGGCCAGAACCAGGAGCAGATATATCTCTGCTTGGCAGGAGTGGAACTAAGAGTGGATGAGCACACTCTAGTGTGACACTACACATTGAGAGGGATGTCACCAGCKTCTGACAGCAGTTTACTGCAGTCATGGGTGATGCTAGGGAGACTCTAGTCTCTCTAGACTCTGCCACATGGGAACATACCCAACTATGGGACCAAAGTGAAAGGGATGAGTGTCTTGCACAACAGTGCAGGTGCCACACAGAGCCACATAGAGGGCAAGGAACTCGTGGACTCACTGGGGGATGAGGGAGAGATCTCCCACTGCTGGGAGTGCTTCCCATACGAATGGGAAACGTACTCCCATACGTTTTTGTTCCTCACACAGCCCACCCTCTCCCTCTCTGTTTCATCCAGACAGAAGGACAGGATAGCTCATTTTTTAAGATGCCAGAAACTAGTTTGGAGGCAGAATTAGCCTGATAGATTAGAAAGCAGGAAGCAAAGAGCAGGAATGCAATAGAGTATCTACTACTTCCATGCCAATACCATCCCCAATCCACTGGAAAATAAAGCAAAACAAGGCAAAAATGTAGTACCCTCAGCTGCTGAGAGCAGCAGGAGAGAACAGTGCTTTACTTCAGAAGAAAAAAAGGGAATCTAAGCCCAGGACAACTGCAAAGACAGTGGGTCCCTGCACCCCACACCCATATAGCATCATCTGGACTCCTTGGGGGAATCAGATCTGGGTAACCTCTTGCCTTGAACAAGAGAAGCAGCCTGCTCTGGGATTGCTTCCAGGGGACACTCAGGCACAGAAGACCAAGTGTGGGAGTTAATTCCTGCACCAGACAGGGCCTTGCTGTGGGGAGCTGGGGTGTAAATCCCTTATCCCAGCAGTTTATGCACTCCTGCACATCAGGATGGCAAGGACTGGCAGGTGCCTGGGACTGGCAGTTATACCCTACTGTGGAGAAGTCATCTCCCTGCATGGAGATGGGTAGGAGAAGATTTCCACCCCACTGCCAGTGTTTTCAACATGTCTCATGTTCCTCTGGGGACCCTGCCGTTGTGTCAGCCCCACCACAGTCCCCATGAGGGCAGCTGCTCTCTTACCCAGGAGCCAAGGGGCGCAGGACTCCATGATGCCGTCCTTGGCAGACTTGAGGATGGACTCGGGCAGTGGGATGGAGTGGCGCACCATGGCTCCGTAGAGGCCATACTCTGCCATCACGCTGCTCCTGCCCCAGCACTTCTCCCTCTTCCGCCACTTGGCCCGGCGGTTCTGGAACCAGACCTGGCGTGGGCAAAAACAGGACCTGTGAGTTATGAGGCACACGTGCCTGTGCAGGGGGATGAAGGTGGGCACGTGCACCTTCCTCCCCAGAGCAGTGGTGGCCTCATCCTCCCACGCAGCAGCTGCTGTGCATCTCTCCCCGCTCTCCCTCGCAAGAGCAACAAGGACCAAGCGTATGATCAGGTCCCATCCCTCTCTGCAGGATATAATTAATTTCCCATTGCAGGGTCTCTTTCCAGTGGCTTTTGGCTCTCGTGCCTGGGATTTTCTTTCATTATTTACTGGGTGTCTGAGCTGCCGTGCAGGGCTGTGCGCAGCGGTGCCTGCAGGGAGGGCTGGGCTGGGGGCGGATGCTCTGGAGCGGGAAAGGCGGGAGAAGGGGGAGCTGCTCTGTGCGGTTTGCCCTGAATTCCCAGTTTGAAAAGCCCCTCATCTTCTCAGAAAATTGGCAGAATAATCTCTGAGCTGTGACCTGGGGGGCAGCGAGCAGGGACGCAGGCGGCGGTGGCGGGGTGCGTGCAGAAATCTATTAGTGTTCGCTCCCTGATTTCCATTCCTCTTGTCTCACTCGCCCTCCTCCCTCCCCTTATTCCCTCCCTTCCCGCAGAGCAGAGGCATCAGCTTTAGATGAAAAATTGCTCGAGGTCTATTCAGAAGGAGGCAAAGGAAGAGTCAGCCCCAGGGGCAGCCCAGGCCTGATTGAAAAATAAGTTAATTTCAGTTTGAATCGATGGGCCTCAGGCACTGAAATATCACGGGAAATTAAAGCAGCTGGTCCCCAGGGAACCACGCCATTGACCTGCACTAATTAATGCCATGGAGCTACCAGTCCCCTTTCCGAGAGGCAGCCCCTCCTTCCCCACGGACACCCCAAACACCTCCTCATTTAACTAATTAGACTCACAGAAAATTGGGTGTTAATTTGTTTAGGTTCTTTTTTTTTTCTTTTTTTTTCCTCTTTTTTTTTTTTCCCCTCCCTTTCCCGGAAAGTACGCGGCAGAATGGAAATGAATGGCGGGGTCTCTCTGGCAGATGGATGCTCGGGGTCACTCTGCAATCTTCTCCGACTTGATTGCTTGATTAGGTCGTTAGCACATTAAAAAAAAAAATTGCTTGCCGTCTGGCGCTGGCCTGATGAGTGGGATGAGGCGGGAATCGCCTGGGTAATTTATCTTTTTATACTGCAAAGAATTTGATTTCAATCTGCAGATATATGGAGGTGCCTTTGACACCTGTTTAACATTACAGAGCTGACAGGTTAACCCTCTGTTGCCTCCACTGCCCACAGCCGAGGTGGGGCCTGGGCTGCCGTGGGGAGCGCTGGGGGGACGGGGCCAGTCGGAGGTCCCCAGCTCTGCCATGGGGACCATGAGAGCGATGCCTTGGCGTGGAGCGAGGTCCTGCTCTCAGCATCTCCCTGCTGTGGGAGATGAGCTCTCCTCCTCCTCGGGATCTGCACAGCACCCGGCACCGTGCGAGATTTGCTTCCCCATGTGCTTTCTACAAGGGGCTGGGAAGGGTAGTGATAGCGTGTGCACACAGCCAGTTCTGGAAGAATAAATCCAGCCCTTGCAGGCAGCAGAGTGGGAAAAGCCTGGAGAAGAGCCAGGGCAGGCCCAAGTTGCAGCCCCAAGGCTCTGTTGGTCCAGGAGCAGCAGAGGAGAGGGTAGGCAGATGTTTTGTTGGTGGCCGGTAACAGGCCACTAGCTTTGGCCTTTCCCAGATCTCCGGTGCTATCATCCCTGCTTGTCCCAGCAGAAGACACTCTGTGCATGTCACAGGGGATATCAGGGTCAGCTTGCTTTGAGGAATGTGCCACACCAGCCTCTCCGTCTCCGCTGAATGTTGAAAAGCAAATGACTTACACTCTCTTTCTACAGGTAGGTTATTCTTGGGCCCGTTCCAGCCATGAATCCACTAAGACCTGAGCAAGGACCCTCAGGAAAGCTCAACCCCTCTCTCTGACCATGTCGCCAAGAGCACAGAGCATGCCCTGCAYGGTGCTGCGTGGGTTTGCTGGTCATCCTGTCAGTGCCACACTGTCAAGATCCATCACTTAAGGCCATGGACTCCTCCTACATCCATGTAAGACAGACCAATCTGGAAGGCTGGAATCAATCCCTCTCCAGCTGTAGCACAAGCCTTTTCATTCCCCCTAAACAAATGTCTACAGATCTTCTTTGTTTTCACATCGCTCCATGTATCCAGAGTGGCTTACACACCTTGTCTCTTTGCAGCTGCATTTATCACCAGCTATCACACCTCGCATCTCAGCCAGGCACAGATTTTCACAACAGGTATTAAACATGTAACTTTTTAAACTTTCCACAATTCTCTTTTACCCAAATGCCTCCTCACTGCTGCTTTCATCACCCTTCCCTTCTCCCTTCCTCCTGCCTCCGTGTCTCAAGCACCCTTCCTTGGTGCCTCGTACTCCCTCTTTCCATCCTCTCCGCTCACTCTGAGGGCCTGGGTCCCAGCCCAGACCTGGGTCCCCCCTGCCCAAATGCATTTGGCAGTAGAAATATAAAGAAAATTATCTGTGGCTTTCTTCCAAAGGATTTATTTTAAACTTGTCCATGCAACACAAATAAAATATATGCTGTAAACCGAATGGGAAAGTCAAAATAACAGCAACACCTTGGTAGATCAAATCGAGGTTTCCTGAATAATGTTTTGTGATTTGATGTGAATTTCCTGTTAGTTTTGATTCAGAAAAAAAAAAGAATAATTGAAATGACAGATTTTCTAGTAGAATGGAAATCAGGACCCATATCATACTTTGAGGCATGAAGTCTATTGAAGCCAATGCTGTGGAGACCTGAACATTCACGAGATCAGAACCTGATTCAACATCTCTACCACACACCTTGTCCCAAAGAGCATAGTGGAAGAGTTCCTGTCTCTTCCCCCTCCCACACTATTTCAGATCAGCAGAATTATTCCCTATGACCTGTTCTTGCGATTTTGCTGTCATTCAAATGGCACCATCAGTGAGGCTTTCTTCTGGGAGATGTTACTGCTTTCTTCAGTCTTGGGAGAGATTTCTTGWTATATTACCACAATTTTCCTTTGCCTTGATTCTGAGCTGAGTCATGCAAATACTTTAGTAATTTTGGGATATTTTTAGCTGTGTTGATATGTCAGCCACAACTTCTGAAAACTGAAGGGTTTTTTTATCATCACCTCACTCTTCTGTCCTTGATGGGATATGGTTTCACCCTTACACTTCCATTCACTTGCAGTTTCGATATTGTGTCTTCTTGGCTGCCGTAGTCTTTGCTTTGAGGTTTGTTCTACACCTTCTCTTGCTCTCTAATATTTGGGCTACTTCAAGCAATGTTTGTCCATGTTTGTTCTTSTCTCTTCCCATTATGTGGGTCAATTCAGCTTGGTAAAATGCTTATTTATATGGATATGTACTATACACTTTGCTTATTACCATATAGGTTTTGCTTTCCTCTGGTTTTTCATTGGACCATCCAGCACACAGTGAAAAGACTGTGTATTTGCATTTGCACATCTCGCAGGTGCTGCGAGCCCTTAGCTATTTCAGATTGTGGTTACTGAAGCTTGTCTGATGTTTTTGCAAAGCTACCACAATCTGATGGCCAGAGATGCCTTTTGGACAAACATGCTACATCTTAGCATCATTTACATCTTTCTACTATCACATGGGCATCCGCTGTGAAATGTGGCACTTGTTCCAATAAACCTATCCTGAAGAACTGGCCAACAGAGTAAAGAGGAAAAATTAGTCCTGATATCTTTTGGCTCTTCATAGCAAAGCATCCAGAAAATCCAAGAACTAGCCTCTTAAAAGACATTAGTTTTAAGTGAGGCTCTGAATAAGGAGAAGCATTTCTGTGACTTAGAGAAGAAAGTAGTACAAAGAGCTCGAAGAATTTACGTACTTGAAGAAGATATGCAAAGAAAAATAGATGAGGGATTTTGCAGGGTAGGAATGAGCCTAGAGTGAAAGACTGGGAAGAGATAGCAGTGAGTGGAGCTGAGCAGGGCATGGTAGGAAAGATGAGGTGCTGATGGGGTGGACAGGAAGCTAACGGAGTAGCTTGAAGAGCAGAGCAATCCACCAAATGCTTGTCTGCAGATCCACCCATCCAAGGCCCAGAGTGTTAAAGGGAACCTGTGGTAGCCGCAAAGTTTATAGCCTGAGCATATCATGATCAGAGCTCCATTGCACAGGCCACAACCCTCTGTGCCTGTTGTGTCTTCCTAAATGCAAGGGACCCTGTAACCTTCAGGCTGCCCTTTTTGCTGGGGGGACCACACTGGGTGCCAGCTACCTCCCATCTCTCTGCACTGTTACAGTTTCACTGACATCTTGCTGTCCACGGGCTCCTTGCTGCATGACAATTACTTCTACTTGCTCCRTGGTTATCACGCTGCGACTGCCACTCCCAGGCTGTGTCCTTGTCTGTCACTTGATGGAGTGGCCCGTGCRCACAGCCTGGGTGGGCCCAACCAGAGAGAGATGACAGACACAGGATGCTGTGCGTGCTGAGCACAGGGCAGCTCCATCACGGGTGTGCGCGGCCATTCCTGCTGGGTCAAACAGCCAGCTGTGAGTAGACAACCGTCACTGGGGATTTCTAGGAGCACCTCTTCTTCAAGCAATTTCTGATCAATTACAGCTTCTTTCTCTGCTCAGTTGAGACACATTAAACTCTATTATTACTCTCTCTCTCTTTTTCTTTTTCTTTTTCTTTTTCTTTTTCTTTTTCTTTTTCTTTTTCTTTTTCTTTTTCTTTTTCTTTTTCTTTTTCTTTTTCTTTTTCTTT